CAATAGTACTCCTTTCTTTTGCTAATCTTTTAATCCTGCTCTGAGTATAGAATAGGTGCAATCTCAAAGGAACAACTTCTAATCTGAAACCAAAACCAGATATATCTACATCTGCCCATATTCTGTGTTCCCTGCCCACACTAAGTGCATGAAAATATGTCTTAGGTTGCTCTGTAGTATAAAGCAAAGGTCTGGAGAATCGATGATTTCCATGGCATTTATATGGAAATGTATTACATAGCCTCCTCCTCTGTGGGGAAAACCAGCACTACTGCACAACCTAGTGCAAAACTGACCACTTGGAAATAGGTAGGATGATCAGGACTATAAAGGAGAATGAGGATGTGGAACTTCCCTCTCCTGGAAAGAAAGACCTGCTCTGCTTCCCAGTTTGAACCTGGAAAAATTATCTCTAATGACAGATGCATAGGATAAAACTAGCAAGCTTTAACTTGTATAACTGGGCTTAGAACACTTTGTACGAACATTGGCCCCAGTAGCAGTAAAGCAGTAATTTTACATAACACAGAATTGTTGCTAAATTATTCATCAACACATAAAAATATAACTCTTTGCAGTTCTGCAGCACTGACTGCCTGCAAATTGCCTCTGACAGTTCCTTCCATAAGTTGGGAAGTTTGGAACATTAACAGCGAGGCTAATGAATGAGGAAGCATGCACTGTGCAGGCAGCCAAACCACTGCTCTGTGTTTGGTGCTGCTGGTTGGGAACCTGCCAGGTACACCCACCTCCTGAGCTGACTGAAGGACTGAGAGCTGGATTTTATCAGCAAAGGGTCTATACTGGGGAGAGTTTTTGTCTTGTCTCGAGCATGCTAACCCACCAGGTAGCTGCATCAGCAGAGATATGCACAGTTTCAGAACCTTGTCAGTAAAATTCAGACCTATCCGTAGTTTTGATGGACCTGCTGCTCACTGAGTCACCTCCTGCATGTCCTTGCATTGTTAGATGTTGCTGGGGCAGGGAGAGCTGCAGCTCTTTAAATTACCTGTGGCTTATTCCTAGGTTCTGTCAGAAGGCAGATGCATCCATTTCCGTCTCCCTTCACCATTATCGTTACCTCTGGCTTACGAAGATGAGATTGCACTGGCTACTAGCATCTGGATGCTGTAGTTGGCGCACATAGGATTATGGATCGCTCTCCATCTCAATAGCGGTCCACGTGTGGAGCCTTTGCTCATTGCTGCAGCACAGGTACTTGGTTTTCAGTCTCAAGTACTGGCTAAATCAAACAACACTTTGGCTTATCACAAGGCAAAAAAAGCCCAAACCAGTGGTACAACCCACCAGCAGTGCCACCCAAATCAGTACTCTTGAGTTGTGACCCACTCACCCGTGCCAAGCACTACTAGGGACAGATGCCAGTGCTTCTGACAGAAACCCCTCTGTTGAATGCATGGAACAAGACAAAGGAAGCCCACGGCTATTTGCACTATGTTTGCTTTGTTCCTGTTACAGTAAACACAGGTTCTGATGTAGAAGACAATAATGTTCCACAGTCTTGTTCTTTCAATAAGATTTCCTTTTCAAGCTCCTGACTTGCAAACTGGACAGTGGTGTTTGTGTATGAATAAATGTCCTCTTTCAGTCTGGTGTTCTACTGCAACACCACTACGCTTTGTTCAGGGGAAAACCTTTTAGGGCTTCAAGCACAATAATGACCTCAGAAAAGGGACATGGCAAGTACATGCTTTTATCAGTTCACAGACAAAAAAGGAAAGAAGGAAAAAAACCCCAAAGGAAAAGAAACTGGCTGAAGATAGCATTATATGGAGCTGGATTTGACATTGCTTCCAGCAGTGACTGTGTTTCGCTGCTGTGACTGCGCCAAAACTTAGTCCCTGACTTTCTGGAAGTTCCTATTTTACAGGACAAAAAAAGCTACTGTTAAAAATGGAAAAGGATCCCGTGGTAAAGATGCTTTTTTAACTATTCCTGACCTTCTGAAATGACGAAGGAGACTCTGCGCGCGTGCTCCTGTACATATGGAATGAGTGATGGGAGGGAACAGACTATGGAAGAGAGCTTGTTCCTAAACTCCTTAAGTGTGAAAAACACAATATTCCTGTTAAGTAGTTCTATTTTCTCTCTCTTTTTGAAGTCTTCAATACTGCAATAAATCAGAAACTATTTAAACAAGAACAAAAAGTTGGTAGACAAACAGAGGATAGTGGGATTTTGATATCTGGTGTAGCGTCATGTAACCTGCTAGTATTTAAGGAAATTATATTTATTTAACAAATAATTATATTTGGTAACAATAACAAAAAAAAGGTACATTTTTGTTCTTGGAAAGGGTCATCCATCTTACCATACTTTGATGAACAACCCTGAGAATGCAACTACAGGGAAACTTTCCCCAGCAAAGGAAGCCATCAGCTATGAACCAAACTCCAGACCATACTCAGCAACAAAAAAGTAAAGCAGATCAAAACAGTGATGCACAAAATCCAGGTGAACATTACTGAAAAATCGGGAATTTGTTTTATTTTTTGTTTAAAAAATAACTTTATCATTGCAAAAGTCGTTTTCTGCAAGTGGAGAAACTTGCAACCATTATGGCAGCTAAAGCTATATAGCAGGGGCATGGAGTATTTTATTGTGTGTGCTCAGCAACACAAATGGACTAACAATGGGAACAGTCTAATAAATCTTAACAGAAGTCTCACAGACAAAGCATGTTGGTACACATAATGCACATGTAACCCAACAGGGGATTAGAGATGAGAAACAATACACACAAATAAATACTTTACATATGTAAAAGTTGCTAATTACTGGTTGCAGAAGACAACTATTTTTCATATTGCACCAACAAAGAACCGATTTATGAACATTTCATTCAGACAAACTGATTCAAATCAAGATTTGTGCAAATCTTTGGATTCAAATTAAACCTTGTGCTTAATACTAAGCAGCACTCAACAATAGAACTGCTTCTTAGAGGGAAAACTATCTCAGGGTGTCGTTTTCCATTGTTTCATAAATGCATCTCTTGTTCTCTTTCTTTCTCCTACACACTGATGAAGTGCCAATTTTTGGCTGTGGCAAATGTAGCATAAATAGTGCAAATCACTTGTATGAGCTGGGGAAGTACAACCCTGCCATGTCTGAAACTCTGTAGATTGATGTGCACGTCAAGAGGTCCTTTGGTCCAATACTTTACATGACTAATGTTAACAGGCTGTCTTTATAAAAAAAAAAAAAAAATCTATAATGAACTACTCTAAATCAAATAGCTTTTGCGGACAACCAGTATTATATAAAATTAAATATCTAATCAGAGAGATCTAATGATGGCTGACTTAATGGCTGACAATTACTCTAAACTCAAGCTTAAAAAAATAATAAAAACATGTAAAAAAAGGGAAGGAAGAAGTAGAAATTTTTGAGACATGAGATTTGATTTATTTAAGCCCTGAACACTGAATTATACCTATACAAGAAATAAAGATATCAAACCCAAATTCTCAGTTCAGTTTCCGTGGTGATACCATTTTTTCACTTAATTTCAATCACTTACCAAAAAAGAAATATAAAATGCTGGATGAATCAGGCATATATCTGAGTCTTTCCTCTGGTTGAACTGAGGCAAGAGCATGTGGGGACAATCTGGGCGGAGAAACACTAAGGAAAAGGGGAGCTCCCTGTCCTTCTTGCAGTCCTTCAAAAAAGAAAGGAGCTTGCAGACCGTGCCATGACAGGACATGTCAGGGTGTAACCTGGGCAACGTGCATCTCTAGACACAGGCTGTGTCTGCACTAGCAAACAGTGTGGGAGAGTAAGAGCGGCCATATAGATGAAAATACCTGGTGCTGAGAAGGCCATGTCTTTAGCAGACACATTTCAGGGTTTTTCATTTAACTCAGGATGAGCTAAGCATTATTACTACTAAGAGCATGAACAGGAAGTTACTATATGGGAGGGTCATACCTGTAACTAGACTTCATTGTAAATGGGTTTACAGAAAAATCTACAAATTTCTAATCTAAATTCACTTAGGTTTAAATTGAGCTCCTATCAATAGTTCAACCTAGATGACAGTTTAAGAGCAGACACAATTCTCATTAACATGAGAAGGGAATGAATACCAGCCTAGGCTTCCTACTGTAGGTAGCTGAATTCCCCTCCATTTTTAGTTTGAGTTGTGACTCAGCCATCAGGGTCTTTGCAATTTTTTTTTCTGTCAAAGTGAAGATGACCTCTTGTCTTGCAGCTGTTTTTATAGCTTTTACTCAGAAGTTTACTATGAGCAAAACTTAGAAACTTTAGTTCTATATAGTACCAGCACTCAGAATCAGAACCTTTGCATTGTGAAACCCAGAGGATGTTATTGTCCAAAAATCCAGTTTTGAATCCCTTACATTGAAAAGTAAGTACTCATATAACTTATTACACTAAAAGGGTATTAGGAAGATGGGCTATGCACCCAGGGCCTTCAGGCAACACTAAGAACAAGCAGAAGGAGAGAAGCACTGAAATTTGCCTTGCAGCAGCCAGCCAAGGAAGGAGTATTTCTGCTTTGGGGAATATCTACAGCACCAAATTTATGAGTGACTGAATCTTTTTCTGTGATAGCATTTTCAACATGGTAGTGCCTCTGATCTCTAGCACACTGAGAAAACTTCAAAGGCAAAAGAAGGATAATCACAATCAACAGAGGTGATCTTATTTATCATAGAGTGCAACTGAGCACCTTAATTCTGAATATATAAGCTTTCCTAATGAGGAAATGGAACATTAGCAGTACTCCATCATTGTTGAAATGTATATAACTCACATATTGATCCTAGCTGGTGATTTCCACTCCACTTCTAAACTGTTAGTTGTGAGCACTTTCATGGCTTGAGATATTTTAGACTTGAGATACTGAGCACAGCATACTAGTTTGCTAAAATCCATTTCTGGTTTTAATTTCTTTCAGTAAATAGAAAATATCTGAAAAAAAAAGAGCCTTTAAAGTAATGTCAGGTTTTGATTTTGTTTTTATTTGTGGCACTAACAGACATCAATATTTTATAATATATAATATATAGTCACATTAAATGCAGATGGCTAAATATTCTCAGGCTCTGGGCTTTCAACAGTCCATACCTATACATTGTAAATTCCAGCTTAAAGAAAAATTCTGCCACTGCTGTAGTCTGTGATTATAATAATGTAAATGTACAAACTTCCTCTTCTTCAGTTTCATTACAATATAGCAAATGTGAAAAAGCATTTTCATTTGTCCTTTTTAAGTTAATCAATTTAACGAAATATTTTCAAAATATGTACAACAACTACCAAAGTAGTTAACATTTGAAAAAGATGCTGCTATAAATACTTGTGAGACAACATACAACAGCCATACGTATTAGAAACCAAGGGCCAACTTATGCATGACCTGAACAACAGACCACAAAAGTCCTGGTTACTGACATAAACCAGCTCCACTTCATTTTACAGTGCAGAATGAATTCTACATCTTGGACCTCTATACTCTGAATCATATTTATAACCTTCACAGTCTATTGCAAATAGAGATCCTTTAAGGTGGCTCAATATTTTTGAAGTTCCATGTTTGTTACCAGGGTTCAGCATATCTCTGCACATTAGCATTCTATACGTCATATCCCATAAGTAACTTTTCAATAGACACCGTCTCACTTTCATTATTGATTGCCTGCTTTCCCAGAGCTCCAGCAGAGATACAAAGTTAATTTAATTTTAAAAACCAGTGACCCCAGCACATGACAATTTAGGTATCATAACTTTTTTCTTGTGATTTTTTTTTTTATAGATCTTTACTCTGGTTTTCACCCTAATCGCTTCCAACCCTTCTTGAAATCAAAAAAAGAAGCAAGTGAATAGTTATATATTTTTAACAGCTGGAAATGAGTATTACTTTTCAGATAGCTAGCAAAGTTTTTAGTTTTGCCCATAAACACAATTAAGTATTAACGCAGAACTGCACAGTGTTTATATTCTTATTAACCTGCCAACAAGAATAGTTTATTGGCAACCTTAAATATTCAGAGGCAAAACACAATTCCTTGGCACAGAAGCTTTACAGCAGAGCAACATATTTTCCCTTTAGAACCATTATGCAGGAACACACAGAAAATTAACTACAACTTATTTTGGCTTGTAGTCAAGAGACTAAACTAAACTTCTTGATGTTTTTTGCCACTTCAGACTTTGAATGATGATTATGGGTGCATACGGGGTTAGATTTTCCAGTTACCTATTCTTTTTACATGATTCAAACGAGCAGAGGGACCTGTAACAAAGAAAAGCACATGATCATTCAAGATATTTTTAAACCTCCAACTGTTGACAATGTTAACCAAACATTCTCCTGTGGGGCTGTTTTCAAGCTTGGTTTCTTCATCTGCTCCTTGAGACTACTTAAGCTTATCTGCCTTTTTTCCTAGCTACATCACTTGGTCTAATGAAAAGTGCTATCCTTCCCTAGAATACCCACACCTCATACATCCTGAGGTATTATGTTTGCAATTGTGTTATTTCTAGACCATAGGTGATGCATTTTTCTGTGAAATTCCTTCATTTTGTGGAATGAACAGAAGCCCAGCCTGCAAGTATCAAATCTTCAGTCAAAATCTCTTCTGTATTGGTTAGCTGTCACTGACCATGAAAATGAATTGATGAGTGCTTTGCTTTCTGATTGAATGAAGGAAACTCCCAGTGGCTTTGATTCAGGAAAACACTTACACAGATGCCTATCTTCCTTCCCAGTCCTCAGGTCATCTAAGCATATGCTTAATTTTAAATACATATGCTAAGGTGCTCTTCCAAATTCAAAGTTACTGAGCTTTGATTCTATCAAAGAGATATACATTAAGGTCACCGCAAAAGCTGAACAGGAATAATGCATTTGATCAAGTCTAAATTTTCCATTTTGACCCTTATTCTTGAGGAAAAAAATAGGTCATCCTATAAATTATTAGCAAGGTGAAGAGTTCAAATTATGTTTTATCTTCCAATTCAAACAGAGTAACAGCATGCAAATGCCTGCCTCTCACTTTGCATGGGAACTAGAATCACTTTATAAGCTCATTTGACTACCTGTATATCAAGCTTGGCCAACCTTATCATTGGGCCTCCTGCCTCATTTCCAGCACACCAAAGCCTACATCAACTGTGGCTTTGAGTCTGTAATTTCTTTCATTGCACCCACAGATACTGATAATAAGAAGCAGTATTTGTTCATTCACAATTATACTTCTCTGCTTATGTGAGAAGAATAGTCCACTGCTTGACATAAAGCTATGGAACGAGGCCATGCTTCCTAGAAGACACTCAACATGACATAATTCTGATCAACGTGTTACTTGTTGACAACCAACTCCAAATTATCCCAGAGAACAGGGACTCCTTGCAATTGGTGCAGTAATTATCTTACCTGGCTCCTTTGATTGCCAACAGAATGATACACTGCACGTATCAAGAGCTGACGTGACCTAATGCTGATGCCAAACATTACCACGAATGCTTGTGGGAACTGTGATGGAGCCAAATTAATTTTTAAAAATCTCAGTGAACAAACAGAAAAGGCTACTTCAGTGCAACTCCAATCTTTATTGGAAAATACATGGAATCTGCAGAATCTCCCTTGCACATACCATTAAAAAGTGGTCTGAAGCAATCACTTTACCAAGAGCAACAGCCTATTCTTCAGAGATATAACTTGCTTTCCCCACCATGTGCAGACAAATTCCCCTGCAATATTTCTACCAAATCCCTGAGTACAACTCTATCTAAAATGAGTGTATGGCACATAAGCTAAAGCAACTTCTATAGCTTCCCTTTGTTGAGTAAGATTTTTAATCCTGCATGGACTTGTGCTGCAACTATACCTACAGCTAGACATCTAATGGGTTATTTGCATGTGTAGTTATGGTTTTCTTTTTCCACAAACAGTCACGGTAAATCCCAAGGCAAGTTACATAAGCACAAAAATACACATCCATTGATATAGAGAATTTCAGACATCTAGCTACATTATTTAGCATTTTATGAGATGGCAATTAGGAAGGTAAAAACTGCACATAGAGATCTTAACTATATGATACTGTTTGACACAGTTTAAGGAAAACACTAGCTCACTTTAAAATCAGAAGGTTAAATGGTACAGCTCTATGACCTGAGTTCTATTCACCAGAATTAGCCAAAATTTGCTCTCAGATGAGCTCTTTACTTCCTAGATCAACTGATTCTCCTTTGCTTGTGCATGGGACAAGCATGCACAAGCCTCCTTGCTAGTGAGACATGTTCATTTCTCATAATTAAATTAACCACCAAAGGCACCAGGGAACCCATCATGGCTGGTGGCTTTACTTGATGCCATCTCCCTGACTTGCTGTTATACTCTGGATGTGTTGAACACCTGCCAGGTTCCTTGACAGATCATTTCAAAAACTGAAGAAAAGGGTTACTTCTTGCAGACTGTCAGGTCTTCTCCAGGTTAGTAAATTTATCCCATTCCTGTAACACATCCATGTCTCCCTTTCTTTTGGGTAGGATCTGTAGTGTAACCACTTTCTGGCAGGTCTGCGAACTTCCCTCCACTAGGGATGAACCATTTGACTGAGCAGGCTCAACTGGGCTTGGCACCTGCAAGAATTTTCCTTCAGGAGTCTGTGGACAGCAACAGTGCAATAAAACAGAAGCCATTTCTTCAAAACAAAGAGTGATTTATTTGCCCAAACAGGCACAGTACTTCAAAAAATGGATTAAGGAAGAGAGAGGAGAGCTATGCAAATACTATCTTACCTATACTTGGCATTTTCCTCAAGCATCTATTTCTGCTCTGGTTTCTTTTGGCTGACCCAATTAGAGACTATGCTGTGCAGACCCTGACTCTCAGCTAAGCAAGGTCAGCCTGCAGCAACTTCTCTCCTCATTTCCTGCACCATGAATTTTTCAACCTTAAAGTTCATGACTTTAGCAAACAGCTGTGTAATCAGGAGAGGAGTGGAGGAGCTGCCTTTTCACAGATAATACTTGAGCTCAAATGTTTGTTGGGATGCTGCTTATCTAGGTAATTGGTTGCTTTTTACATTTGCTTCCCATGACAGCTATGTTTGATCTACTTCCATTGCAACTAACCCCACATAAATAAACACCAAGTCACGCATAATTATGCAACACAGATTCTTCCCAGCTCTCTACAATATTAGCTAAATAAATGACTTTGCTGTCAGCAACACAGATTTTTCCCATTTCTCCACAATATTAGCTAAATAAATGACTTTGCTGTCAGAAGTCTTTGTCCCAGAAGACTTTGAGAAGACAATGGAAGAGAAACAGATGCCATTACTGAACTGAACTACCTACTCTGCTGTCTAGTTGCTGCAACCAAAATCTTCCAGAAAGCAAAGCCAAAAGCAGTGCTGTGCTCACATCTCCAAATCACAACATCATAGAACTTTGACAGAGGAGGCAAAACAAAGAAAAAATTTGCTTCAGCCCTGGCACAAAGCAACCTGTCAGCCACTGCCTACAAACAAACTCAGTGTCCCTTAGACACGGGTAAAAGAAGAAAACCTTGATATTCAGCTGTTATGTGTTCACTCTCCTCTATGGATTCAACTTTTGCTCTCATCAAGTTGTCCAGTTGCAGGGAAGGATCAGAATTTGGCTCTCAATATAATGCATAAAACTAGAAGAGATCTTAAAACACATTGGATAGAAAGCCTTTTCAGAAATCTGACACCATTTTTACTTTAATCAGTTATCAAGGGCATGAGATCTCAGATGTCAAAGTGTCATGATGACTTTGGCATACATAAGACTAGCTTGCATATCCAGTATCAGGAAGGGCAGCACAGTAATAAAAAAATCATACTCTGTCTTGGACAAAACACTGCTCTCTTTTGTTTTCATAAGAGACCTATATAATGAGATGTACTCTTCTGTTGTTTCAATGTCATAAGTAGCAAAAATTATTCTGTCTTGGAAATGAGACAAGACAGGCACAGTATTTAGTAGAATCCATCAGTCTATCTGGTGTACTTTCATGACCTGCACCGGTTATCCAAGTGTTTTGAAATAAATTCCCAAAGATATGATAAAGACTTGTTTTCATGAGTAGAGCTATGGATTCCCTCAGAGACTTTTGCAAGAGCAATGCAGTTGGAAGAACAAGAAATTTGGAAGTATCTAGAAAACAACTGCATGAAGTACCCTTGAATGTCCAAGTCCTTTTTTTTTTTTTTCTGTCAATTGGTGAAGTGGGGAAATAAAGGCCTGACTTCTTCATAATTTGTAGTCTTAGAATCACAGAATTTCTCAAATTGGAAGGGACCCATAAGGATCACTGAGTCCAACCACTTGCTCCTCCCAGGAATGCCTAAAACTAAACCATATGACTAGGAACATCGTCCAGCTGCTCCTTGAACTCTGCCATTTTGGTGCAGTGACCACTTCCCTGGGGAGCCTGTTCCAGTGCCCAACCACCCTCTGGGGGAAGAACCCTTTCCTACTGTCAAATGAACTTCCCCTGACACAGCTGCATTCCATTCCCTTGGGATCTACTGCTGGCCACCATGGAGAGGAGACCCCGCCCGCCCCTCAGCTGCCCTCCTCAAGGAAGGCACTGACTGCAATGAGGTTGCTCCTCAGCCTTCTCCAAGCTGAACAAACCAAGTGTGAACTCAGCTGCTCCTCATAATTGTAGGCATAACATAGATGCAATTTTTTCACATGAAAAATTAACTGCACATCCAGGTTCCTGATGTAATCAGATCACGCTGACGTAAATTTCCCTGAAATACTGATTTGTTTGTGCCATTCGTTTGATTCTGTGGAATTTCTGGTTTATCAGAAACCAGATTTTTTGACAACTTTTGAATGTTAAAATTTGAGTGCATTTTAAAATTATTTAAAAGAGGACAAGTGAGGAAGATTAAAGTCTATTTACACATTTATGGTTGGCATCAGTCAACTCATGTGTTGGGAAAGCTACATCTGCTTTTTTACATTCCCTTAAGTCCTTGGATCAAAGTCTACACTTGGATACTGCAGTGTAATATTGGGATGCCTCCATTCAGGGCAATTGATCTGCTTCTCTTTACCAAGAAACACAGTGTAACTTGAGACTGGGGAGAACAAACTTTGATCAAAAGATAAGTAAAGTTACTCCAAAAATCACACATAGACAACTGAGCATTCAGCTATCTGGGAGTTGACCGATTCACATCTAACCACAAAAGTGAAACACACAAAATTCAATTAAAAAAAGTTCAGGCAGACATTAAATTGACCTCACAGTTTCACTGACAGCTCTCAGCACATGTGATCAAGGTTTTAGTGCTGGGAATCAAGGTCTAGGACACACTATGGAAGTTAGGAGAGAATATTTATTTATAAATTTGCTTCAGGGTCTCATATCTGATCTTTCTTAGGCTCACCTTATCTAAAGGACATCAAGTATTATCCCAGATAATACAGAATGAAAAGGTCATGAAAATGAAATTATAGTCATGCTCTTGATGGTCTCTTTAATAAAACACATTGTCTGTTCACATGGTTGCATATATGCATGGGTGTGTTTCATTAGCTGTTCAAAGGTTTCAAATACATTCCTGATCTTTGATTCAGTTAGAGGAACTAGTGCATGTACCTTCTTCTGATGGACAAAAGAAATGTCTGCCTAGAACAGCTTAAAAATGGTTCTGAAAACACAGCAAACATAGGTTGTTTCATCCACAGTAAAATATAAAAGTACATTTACCTTTCTTAACTTTGCTGCTCCGGCACCAGAGCGAATGGCCTCCAATAGGGCTTGCCTTGCCTCCATTGGATTACCTGAAGCTGTGGCAGAGGATTTAGGAGCTGCTGCTGACAGCTGAATGGGAGGTGGTGGTGGCGGCTGGGCAGGGGCAGGTGGGATACACAGCTGCTCTTCCTGAAGGTCTTCTGCCTTCTGCAAGGACCGTTCTGCGTCCCTAAAACGCTGCAGCTCTTGGGAGGCCAGTGAGGAGATCTGCTCATCATGCAGTTGAAAGAAGGTGGTTAATATCAAGCATGGCTAAACTGCAATTATTTGACATTAGATTCACTTTCAGTACCCCGATTTCGCTTTTCTTGGATGATGTAAAAGCCATAGAACTTTTGTTTGCTCATGGGGTTGAACATCTGTTACTACTCACATCACTCAGCTGGGCTGATTACCAGCATTGAGGACTTGGCATTGAGTCTGTCTCAGAAACTCAATCTTTATTTACTGTGAGCTTCAGCATCCTGTAACTCTTCTTGGCATGTAAGGTAAGAGAGAAAGTTTGACTTGGTATTAATTTGGAAACAACCACAAGGGTTTTGGAATCAGGAAGATATATTAAGGCTGCAGTAGCCACCCAGGAATATGATTACTTTTTGCAGTCTGGGCTGCACAGAAATAATCTCAGATGACAGGGAAGCTCTTCCAGATCTGAGCTCTCAGACATAGCTTCACTGAAAAAAAAGCCATTAAACCTAAAGTTTCCAGCCATACTTTAAAAAAAAAAAAAACAACACAGAGAGAGCTACGTGAAAGCACTGAGGACAAAATCAACTGATAATTCTTTCAAGTGTGTTTCTATAGAATTTCAGAAACTAAAATTTCTGCACAAGTTACCAGCTTGGAAACTCATCCTAGTTTAAATGTATGCAGGCGAGGAAGACAGTCTTTCAGACTAAGCCAGCTTTTCCATCAACTGTGTCAAGAGATACTTTTTTTCCCACTAATACTAGTAACAATCATGATGAATTGTTAGTAATTACAATGATTCAGCAGTTATTAAGAAATTCAGTACTATGGGCCAAATAGGTTTCCAAGCAGATTCATTACAATTCATTTCTCAGACAAACTGCAGCACAGCTTCTGTGGTAAAAAATTAAAGGATTCATCTCCCCTAAAATAATCCACAGAGACCTCCTGTATTATATCCCTTCCTTATACATATATAAACACACAATATATATATGAGCATCATGTCATGTTAGATAAAAGGCGAACATTTGAGACAATGTGAAAGGAACACCACATCTGTACAGCACCCTGTACACAAACACACTGATTTAACTAGCACAGGTGACATGGTGTGAAAAAGCATATGGTTTCTAGGCAACTTCCTTTAAAATCATGGCAAAAACTCCTCTGCCAGAGGAAAGTATTGCAAAAAGTCTCTGTGATGACTTCATTGTCAGAGCCTCTTTTACACAAATTGCTATTTATTCCTAATGAATGCAGAATGCAGTTAAGTACGTGTGAAGATTGCTGCTGCTTAGCACATCCTGCTCACAGGCTCAGAGGAGCTGTGCCCTACCTGCAGCAAGGGCAGTAGGATATTTGAGGGGTGAAGTAATTCCCTAACACAGGCAAGAGAATTTTTCTATCTCATGCCAGTTATCTGGATATGTGCTAATGAACTGAGTCATTGCACGAGGGAAACGGGAACCTCCTTGCCAAGGACACATCTTTGGCTGGATTAGTCAACTGAGCAAAAACTGAGGCTAGAACAATGCAGGTTTTGGCTATTAGGAGTAAGAGATGCTTTAATGATTAGATAAATCTTTCAGAGAGAAGGAATCATCCTGCTGTGGGGAATGCTGATGAAACATCAGTATCAATTACTTGCATACAACTTGCACCATGATAACAGATACACAGCACGTATGAAGAAGCTCTAGTGTGTTTTCAGGAAGGTGGGATTGGATATATATGTAGGTAATACAAATACATTAATCCAACAGCAAACTCCTAAACTACAGCTTCTCTGTGTGGAGAAGCTGTGGATGCCCCATCCCTGTTGGTGTTCAAGGGCTTGTTGCATGGGGCCTTCTTGAGCAACCTGGTCAAATGGGAAAAGTCCTTGCCCGAGGCAGAGGGGTTGGAACTAGATAATGCTTAAATGCTTTCCAACGAAAACCATTCTAAAAGTGACCCCATCTAAATGTGAAAATTATGAACATTTGATGTGCTCTATGTACACTCCCTGTAATTGGTTTGGATTTCTACATGCTTCTTTCTAAGTTAAAGGCACACTATTTGAAAGACTTTTAAGTTTTATAGCAGGGAATAAGATTGAACCTGCTGTGCTGTCTGCCTAAGTGAGATCTGGTCTTCTGTCATATGGTTACCACCACAATTTCTCTCTTTGCAGCACAATGTTTCATTTGTGGGATATTTGGATTTATTCAAAACACTCAGATGGAATAGACTGCACTTCAAAGATCACTCACCATCTTGATTCCTTACCTTTTTTAGCTTTGAGGTGCCACTGTGGCCTCTAATTGCTGCTAGTAGGGCTGAGCGCTCATTCTCTGGCTCAGCGTATGAGGGTTTCCCGTGATTGCCATTTAATGCTCCGTTTGAAACCTAGAATATGAAGGGAATAAACCTCCCATTGTTATTAGATATTTACTTAGAGATAGCTTGGAAACACTTTTTGGCACTTGTACCAGAATGCAAACTATGAAGACTAATCAGTTTGTCTTTTTTTGGGCCTGCTTGTAAAACCTTATTCCCACTGAACAGTGTAGACAGTAATGCTGTACTTGGAGATGCAGCCCATATTCCCTGTTCATGAAGTCAGTGGCACACTATTATCCCTTAGTAAAACAAAATGCAATTTTCTTTCACTGCAGGTATTTACAAGTTTTCTCCATGCTGTGTGTTCCTGTTTTTACATAACACACTGAAATGAGGGTTTGGCTCTTAGACTAACCTCAATAACCTCTCCTTTATCTGTGTCTACGCACCCTCTGCCTACCCAGCTAGTGCAGCAGCCATGGTGTTGCATAATATGCAGGATGTGCAGAATAAGCAGAAGCTTGGTCTGCATTTTGCCATTATAAATTTTTAAAATGCCTTGTGTTCTCTGGCTCACCAGCAACTGTACAAGTTACCAAACCTCTGGTGTCTGACAGGGCGAATATAGGGCTCTGCAGTCTGATCAGGTTAAAAAAGGTTTCCACTTTACCTTTCTGAGTTTCTCCTTTCCCCCTCCTGCTTGAATGGCTTCCATTAGGGCACTGTGCAATGATGTGTCTTTTGGAACTGGCTTTTGGATGACAGGTTTGAACTTCTTCTTTGGTCCAAAAATATTGGTCTGCACATTAACATCCAGTTCACCAACAGTATTAACATCTGAATCATCAGGTTTCTCCTCCTGTTCTGACTCTGCATTTGCTGCTGCACCATTTAGCTCAGGAGAAGCTTTAAGTGAACTAACTTGTACGCTATTAGTGGGATGCCATTTAGTGACTCGTAAAGATGAGCTGAAAGAGTATGAGACTCCTTGGAGATCAGGAGACTTGAGGGATGAGGCTGAATTAGTATGGGTCAAAGTCTCACACTTCTGGTCAAACACAGTCTTTTTCTCCACTACACTTTGTTTGCTGTTTATACCATGATCATCTTCTGCACTGTTGTTATCCTTTGAAGAGGATTTAGTAAGTGGGACACTGGCATTCTTTTTATAGAAACTCACAGGAGTTGCTTGATTTGGTGTCCTGATATTAACTACTTTGTTTTCCATGCCAGAATTATCACCAGGTGTAAACCTGTGGGATGCTTTCTGACTGGAAGCAAAAATGCTTGAAAGGGTTTCTCTTGTTTCTGCTGATTCTGTTTCCACAGGGCTATATTTGGCCACAATAATACATCTTTTTGGTGAAACTTCTGCTTCATTCTTAACCTCTCCTGCCCCTTGCTTGTTTTCATCTTTCTCATTATATTCCATAGTGTCAGATTTAAAGGTAGTTGCATTGATGTGTCTTGCAATGGCAGAGGCAACATACTGACTTGAAGTTCTCCTGTGTGGCTTTACGAACGGGAGTTCCAGCTTGTCCTTACTAACGGCTGGGGCTGCTAATGGTGTTACCTGGGACTGTGTAACTGAAAGAGCTGGTTTGGTCCTTTCATTCTCAGATTGTCTTTCAGCTACCTGGGTTGTAACAGTTTGTGGTCCTGCAGGTTTTGGAGCTGAAAGACAGACAGGTTTGTGATCATGTTTTATAGTAAAGGGCTTAGAGTTTGTGGTGACTGCTGACTTTTTAGGAAAATGCTCAGCAGAGTCATCACTTTGCTTTTCCATAGAACTTGACCTCCAGAATGCCTTCACTCTCCCAATATGAATTTCCTCACTTTCATCAGAAGAAAAGCCTTGTACATGCTTACTAACACTGGTGTTTGGGCCTATAAGATTGCCCAGTTCATCTATCTTAATGGCACCAGTGGAGACTGAAACTCCTCTATCAAAATGTCTTACTTCGGGTTTGGGAGGGACAACTTTAAACGTTGTCAAACCCATTTTAGGTTCGTAGCTTGATCCTGAATTCTGGGCACGATGACACCATGTGGGTGTTGATGGGACTTCTACTTCAGTTTTTTTTGCTGGTGGCCATTTGATTTCTAACTCTGATTTACTTTTTTTCAGAGACCTCTCCCTGCTACCACATTCATTAACTGGACTCAGCTTCTCTTTTGCTGTACTGATTTCAGACGTGGCTTTGGAGTGAGATGGACTCAGCTTGGATTTACATTCCTCAGACTTCACACCATGTTTAGGAGAGGGTTCCAGTCTTAAGTTCTTTTCATTTCTTTTTTCAAAGGAGGATGTGAGAGATTCAAACATATCTCTTCTCTGCTCCACAGGCAAGTGAATGAATTCATTTTCAGATGGTTGCTGATATATTAGGTCCTTGTATACAGCTCCACCATCTGTGTGTCCCTTATCAAAGGAACCTGCATTGTTGTTTTTATTTGTGAAGTTTCTTGCATTAACACAGTCCGCTGGGGTATTCTGTGAAACCTTAATCTCTTGATTTTCATATGAGTTAGAGGTGCTAACTTCTGGAGCATCATCTATGATTGTTACTGGAACAGAAATGGAAAAATCTTGGGCAGCCTCAACTTTTCTTATATGTGGGCTCAAGGCTTCACTGGTGTAGTCAGAGTCAGAGTTACTGACACCATCCACTGCTGCAAAATATACATACAATGTTACATATAGGCAGTATTTAGGCAATATGACTATAAATTACACAAACAGCCAGTACAAGTTAAAGCAAACCATGTATTTTAGTTACACACTAAGTAACAGGCTTTTTTTTAATGCCTGCATTACAAAAAAAGGAGACGTCCTGGTCCTTCTTATTGTCTGGTTGCTGATTAGGATTGGCAAAATATTCCTGCAGTTCTCCTGCCTCAGCCAGTGGGAAACACACAAATGCAGCTGAAAGCAGAATTTCATCTATTGTTCATACCTTATCTTTGACTAACTTATCTAAGTGATAAACATTTCACCACATGACTCCAAAGGAGAAACATTTCTAAGAAACAGCAAGCAACTCCAAATTATATTTCCCAGACCTGGTTAGTAATAACAGTTGAGCTGAAGGATTTCCTTGAACAAGCAAACAAAAAACCAGTACTTTTATTTTTTTTCTCCATTCTTCTCACCCTTTATTATCAGTGACTCCAGAAGCCTCACTGTGCAAGAGGGCTATATATCCTCTCAAATTTGCTGATATAAATCAAAGGTTACAACACAAGCTAAGGAATGGCTGTGTCTGAGAAATCACAAGAAATCAAATCAGACTCAATTCCACTGCAGAAGTATTAAAATGAAGATAGGAAATTAAAAAAAAAATCAATGTAATTTGTTGACAAACCAATAATAGGTTGTTTTTGTTTTTTTTTCCACAGTAGGAAAAAGAAGAGCTCAATATGATATTTTCTCTCTTCCCACTGTTTCATGTTTTCCATTTTTAACTTTTAAATGTGCCTGTTAACACAGAGGAGACACTGGATACAAAAATGTTCCATCCTTTTCCACTTCATAATGATAAAATAAAGACAGAGGGATTCTTCGTTAAACACAGAGCTAAATTCACAACTGATGTAGCTTCACTGAAGTCAGTGAAGTTATACTAAATTTGGCCTATGTGTCCATTGACTGCTGTTCATCTCTTTTTGGTAGAAGACACCGAAATACAACAATCTGACATGCAGTTTGAAAAATATTCAGTGGGAGCCTATAAAGGGTGTCTGCTCCTAAAGCAAAGGAGCCACTTTGGGGGGACCATGTTCTTCCTCACACACTCATGAGTTGTTCCCAGTGATCTCAGTGAGACACACACAGGATGTCTCAAGAGTACAGCTTGATTCTGCATCCACTGGCTGTGTCTCTCTCTTTTGCACTTCAGAGGTAACACACGCTTTCCTACCTTCTAAATCTTCATCCAGGTCAGCCAAAGTCTGATGGAGCTGTGCTGCAATGAATGTATCTTCATTCTCATGCTTAGCCAAAGCTGTTGCTTCATCTTGCCTGCTAAAGGAAAGAGAAGAAAATCATTGAGTCTCTCCCCTTTCTTTCACTTTGCACTGTTGCTCTGAAACACACTATAATTTCAGCCCCTTTGCTCCCACTGGAGTTCTCAAACTCTTTCCCCAAAGTATGAAAAATGTGTAGCCTTACACACAAACCACCGTACTGACACATCCACATCTAGGAAAGATCTCAGTGGGGTTTGAGCAAACCCAGTGTGCTGGTAATCAAAAGATTACGATTAATAAAACCTGCAAAGAAATGGTCTGGCTCCAGTGTGAAGCATGCATTTCAGCTGGACTGCAGAAATACAGCATATGCCAGGACAAAGGTTTTGCACATCCATACAATTTTAAGGCAGACCACTAACAATCCTGTGCACCCGCTGTAACAATATATGTGCACCTTAATTAAATAAAAATTGCATGGTAATGAAAAATAAGTACACTCAAGGTACTGTTAGACAATCACTCTGCATCTTGAGGTGTGGGAGGGAGTGAAAGCAGTTTCTAATGAAACATCAAGGGACCTGATTTTGCCAGAAAACTGATGAAGCTCTACTATGACCTAAGACAAGTCTGAAATCAGAATGAGTGCCAAGTGTTGATTTGGCTTATTAAAAGAAGAGAAGAAAAAGAAAATGAAACAAAAAAATCCTAAAAACACCCCCCTAAAATTAAAAAAAAAAAAAAGAAAACAACAAACCAACAACAAAAAACCACCTGTATGGCAACCTGTTACACAACAGTTCTCCTTCTTATTAGAGGAAAATCTTGATCAGTAGAACATTTTTATCCAAATAATTGAAACTAGAATTTCACATTAGACAATTTATTTCTTTCAGTTACCTCACCCAAATTTAAGATGTTGTAGTCTGTGACACTGTATCTAAGTTTTGCCCTTGTGATTAATCAATTGGAAAAGTCACTTTCCATTCCAGTCACATTTAAACTAACTCTGGGTGAAGCAGATTTGTCCTTTTCAAGGTTATACCCTTAATTGCAGAGATACATTAACACAACAGATTTTTTTGTTAGTTTACCAAACACTACCTGAAAAATGCCATTTTTCTTCTTCCCTTTAAGATAGTAATGTGAATAAAAATGCAGGCATGTTTCCTGACATTGATTTAAATTTTGTCCAACAATGCAGCATCATTTTTTGCTACTTTTTTGTTTGATTTTTCCCTTGCTCATACCAGGAGCAACTGAAAGGACATGTTGAAGCATCAGGTATTTGATTTTATTTTACTTCATTATTTACTTAGCATTCACTTCTCCCTTACATCTTTTGTAGTAGTCCTGCAGCCTGATCCTTCTACTTTTACCTAAACTGCCTTGCACTTAATAAGCTGACGTCGTGTATGCGGCATCAATGAAAATAACAACATACACCTCCAAGGAAGCCTTCCAAAACTGCCATGTACACATTGTTGTGTATCTGAATACACAGATGGGATTCATTCAAGACAACAAGGCTTGATATACGACTAAGAGGTTTCCTAAACTGGAATCGAAGACAGAAATCAGCATTGGTTGTTTTAAATACAGACGAAGATACAGGGTGCTCTGCAACTGGAATATAATTTCTTCCAACATCTGCCACTGACCTGAGCTTTGACAGGCCCTGAACATCCCCACAAGCCAGTGTGATCTTATGATGCCCAGGCTCAACATCCACACTGCAAGATTCATGGTGAACTGAGTTTTCCCCCTGATGGATTACAAGGATGGTGGATCAAATCAGTTAAAGTCTCCAGTGCAGGCACCTGGCGCTGTAGGACTGCAGTCCCTCTGTACCCTGAGGCGCACATACAAACACACACATCCATAAATCAATGAGATTACTCATCTGGGCAATCTGACAAAAAGATTTACACTTATTGCAGCATTCGAATTGGGGGAGAAGACTAGCAAACAAAACTCTCAATGTGAAGATGGCAGAAAGAAGGAACTAATTGAATTTCATATTGTTCTTGCCGTGGAAAGTTTCATAAAATTAATAAAAAATACTCTACTCTGAGTGCATGTTAAAACAATTTATTTGCAAACTCAGAGAGAGCATTTACGATGGGAAAACCATTCAAACTGTGCACCAGCTAAGCAACAAGTCTATCCATCATGGAAAGCAAATACTACTTTCTTCTTTACAAAGCTGGTCTTGCAGAATAGTTGCACACAGCTGGAGGCAAGTAAGTGACACACACTGAGACTCATTCTCTGACCTACTGTGGAGAAGTTGTTTCCAAAACCTTGGAAGAAAAAACTGTAAACTCACGAGACCTAATTTCATGAAGGCTATGCCAGCTCACCACCCTTTTGGTACCTGATTTTATGTTCCTGTCTATTGCCTGACTCTTCTACAATGCAGCCAAAATCTGTATTACTAAGGTTGTCCATGCTGAAATTTCTACAGGAAAAAATAGGCTTGAGAATTTTATGGGAAATTTGTCTAGAAAAACATATTTGGGATGGGAACAAGCATTCCTGGGCTTCAAACATGGAGCATAAATCCATAGCACTGCACTGACCCGTTGTTTTCTCATGTCTATCAGTGGGAATCTTTCAGTTTTCATAGCAAAATGATCCTCTCCTTGTTGGGCACAATAGCCAGCAGTGGTCTCTTTCATTATCCTCTGAGCACTTATGCAGTGACTATACATAATTTTCCTCTCAATACCTGCTTCAATCTCTTTACTTAGACAACTGGGATAATACTATTCAATCCACAGCATTTTTCTGAAGGAAAGAGAACAATGCATTGAAAATGAAAGGATTCTTATTTGCAGCTACAGAGGGAGCTTCAGAAAAACAGATATTTTCTTTTGCATTTCTAAATCTCTAGAAGAGCTACTGTTCAATGCATCTCCAAACTCACCTACAAAGCAAGCCAGAAGGTACAGATTAATCACAAGGGTTTTTCTTAAAATTCTTACCACTGGGAATTTAGAATGGGCTATGTGTTTTGTGAGATGAAGGTCTGGTAGTTTCCAGTAGCTCACATGACTTACAAATATGCCTAAGAAGACTCTTTCTCACAGGAAAAGGAAAACAAAAGGGCCTCAATTTTTTTTTTTCCATAGCCTTCTTCCCTTCTACACTTTTCTTTTGTTGACAGCTGTTCTGGCCAGAAGCCAAGAAAAACATGACTTATTTCGATACCATGTTTTACATTCTGGATAAACATTACCAGTGGTATTTTCTCATACACATTTTTTTTTGATGTTTTACATTCTGGATAAACATTACCAGTGGTATTTTCTCATATACATTTTTTTTTTGGCTTTTTTTTTTTTTTTTTTTTTTTGACTTAGGGAAGAACTTGATAACCTTTACGCTGCCTTCCTGGTTAAAATATGAGGTGCTAAAAATACAGCACTGGTGAGCATTTAGCCCAAGCTCGAAATGGCAAATGTGCACGGTTCCTGGAAGCCTGCGCACATATTACTTATGCAGATTAGCAGAGATTTGTGCAAGAGCACAGAACGAAGCAAAGTGACTACTAAACTACAGCATTTAATGTTCCACTGAGCTCAGGCTACAACGCCTAATTACTCCTTGGCAGTCATTTGCGCAGTTGGAGACAAAATGAAACTTACAGCAGCATTTTACCAAATTAGTGCCATGAGAGACATACATTTACGAGAAGGTTAACATTCTAAGAAAGAGAGAAATTTCTCTGATAAAACTAGCTGGAAATGCTGCATAAAAATAAACCCAGACTTGTGGTAAGACAAGGGATTTTCAATGAGAAAAGCTGCCAGTTTGTTATAGTCAAAGCAGGTTTACCTGTGGGTCTGTAAATGATAAATCTGACCCAAATTTCTCTGAGCACTTCTTGGGAAGTGTGGTGAGCCTCATGTACGGCACCAGAGGTAGAGACCACACCTCCCACTGTAACTACTTAAAGACAACACAGACCTATGTAAACTGCAGAGAAGGGAGGGAGGAAGACATTCAATTATCCAAATGCAGATACCTGGTGCCATTTTAAATGCTGTAGGATACTCAAGACATCTCTCTAGGGCTCTTAGACTTAATGTGGAAGACAGGGAAACTTGTGTCCTACCTGCATGGCAGCAGGTCAGAAGAAGCCTAGTAGCAGACATATCTCAGGTTAACTGAACGTGATTTGCAATCTCACTCATTTTGCACAGTATTTGCTATACTGAAAGACTTGAGAACATGGCTCCCATGAACCTGCTACTAGGTGGGGTGGGAGGACAGAGCCATTGCAAATAAGTCAAATCCATACAGGCACACTGTGCAGTAGGACATGCAGGGATGTAGTGACAACTGTGAGGTACATTGAGAGCATTCAGCTTCTCACATGAGACTTGGGCAACTAAGAGGGACTGACCTACATGGAAAACTGACATGGTTACTCCAGTTCCAAAGGCTTTGGAACATTCAGGCTCCCCTCCCAGCTCGGACAGCTGTCCCAGTCTGGTACTGGGGAATTACATGAACCCATCTTTATGTATCCAAATTGTCCTCTTTAAAATGAATCCATGATATTGACCTCTTTCAAAAATGCTGCAAAGAGAAATATATATATTGTGTATATATCAAGGTGGGTGTTAGAGAAGAGACTGATGCTGAAGGATTTCAAGTCGTAGGAAGTATGGTTGAAGCTTTTTGAAAACAACTTGCTATTAAATCAGGCCAGAAAGCTGGCATTAAGTAAACTCAGGGTTTTTATATAATCATTTTTGCGAGTGATGTGGCAAAGTACTCTTCAAAAGTGAAGGTAACTGTTTTCTGGATAAACCACTAGTTTCCACCATCTTAGAGACCATTTTTCCATTCTTTGCATTTCTTCGGCTAGGTAACTTTTTTTCATTTCTATTCAAGGAAGTAATATAACTGCAGCAGGAGAGCAGCTAGAATAAGTGCTGGACTTTCTAGTCACCTAAACCATGACCTGACCAGTGATATTTTTCCATTTCTACTGCCTCCTGTGAACTTGAGAATGAATTTTCAACCAAAGCCTGTTAAAATTCA